ATAATCTCGGGATCTAAACTTTAAACGTTCTTTCAGTCTCGGAAAGTTTATCATTCCTTGGTTATGCCTAATTCCTAGAAGAGTGAGAGAGGTCGGTGATCCCAAGATGCCAGACAGGCGACCCTGCAGGGTGTGGGCTATCCAACTTAGTGGAGAAGGGAGGGGCGGATCTCTCCTGAGACTAGGAGGGTGGGTGGGGTGTGGGGGTGGCACTGAATTGACAGATGGCCACACTTGAGGGCAGAAAGACCGGGTGTCTGTGCACGGTGGCTTCTAGAGCTGAGGGTTCCTGGGAGGGAGTTTTGCAGCTACTCTGGGCCCAGAAGAGGGCGTCTGGGCCTCTGCGCTCTCGGTGAAGTCTTAGGGATTCCCAGATGCCAGAAAGGGGTGGCAGGGAAGGTCATGGCTTGGCCCTCCTGTCCCCTGAGGTGTGGCTGTTATCGATGCTCGAGGGGCGGGAGCCCCCACAGGTGACCGGTCTAGGGGAGCCCAGGTGAGCTGCCGTCTATCAGGCTGCAGAGCCTGGAGTCTGCAGGGTCTTCCTCAGGACCTTACTATGCCCATGCTGGGGGAAGGGGACGGCTGGAAGAGAGGAAAGTGTGTGTGTATTGGGCACACTCGTGGGAACTCAGTGAACGTTTGCTGAATGCATGTGTGTGGGTGCGCCAGTGTTTATGCAAGTGCCTGCACGCGCTTTAATGCGTGAGCCTCTGAAGACGTGCGGGGTGTGGGGACGGAGGAAGCCCCTCTGTGTAGATCAGACCCTCAATGCCAGTAGGGGGGCCCGGCAGGCGGAAAACGAGGCCAGAAGGCTCCTTTTGACTTCCCAAAGTGGCCCTGGGGGGAGGAGAAGGGGGGTTCGCAAGGCTTCACCATTTCCTCGGAGTCCTCAAGCCAGGCTCCCCGGGTCTGCTCCCTGGCCTCTCTCACTGCTTCTCCCAGGCCCACCTCAGAGGTCTGGCCTCGGCCTCAGAGGGTCCCTGCCATGACAGAAATCAACTCCTTCCATTCGCCCCCACCGTCCAAAGATGGGGGTCCTTACAGTCTTCCCCGCAGCCATTCCCCAAGCTCAGGGCCGATGCCCACTCTTCTCCTCTGTTCCCTCCCAGGGACTGGTACGACCTGAGCATCAGTCTGGCTTTCTCTGCCCGAGCTAGTCCTCTTCCCCTGAACCTCAGTTTCCCCGCCTGTACTTTGGGGGAAAGACCTGCATCACGTGTTTGCTGTGAGGATTACAGTGAAGAATGATGGGGAGCTCCCAGCTTGTTCCCGGCACCAGATATGTACTAACTCAGAAAGGCTCAATCAGCTCCCGCTTTCCCGGCCACCTGCCTCGGCTTTCTCCCCCAGCGGGTGGCTGCCTCCGCTCCAGGACTTGGCTGGCCAGTTTCCCCGGGGCTGCCTTGGCCCTGGCCCCGGAGACAGCACCCAGTTCAGGGTGCTTGCGAGAGGCCGGGAGGCCGCCACTTAGCGAGAGAGTAGGACGTCTCCTTCCCAGTGTCCCCGCTTTACCTCCCAGTTGCGCGGGAGGGCGCGGGACCCGCTGCTACGTGGCCCGGGAGTCTGCGCCGCGGCGGCGCAGAGGAGGACGCACAAATTGTATTTCAGTGTCGGGTCCTTCCGGGTTAATGAGCTGACACCATGATTAAAGCTGACCATTTGTAATGTGTCTCGACCCCGCCGCCGAGCCCTGAAGAGGTTAATGCGGTGACGGAGGCCGGCACCTGCCCCTCGCCGGCCTCCCGGGCCGCGGCGCACAGCCCCTGCCCCCGCCCCCGCGCCCGGCCCTGCCCCGGCTGCGCTGCCGACTCCTAATCAATTAGCCCATTAACGAGCCCTTCGAGGAGTTAAGTAGGGAGAGTTCTGCCACCGGCAGGGCCGCAGTCGGTAACTCACCGCGGCTAATGATATTATAAGCGCTTTACTCAATAACCCCGGCGCAGAGCGGGCGAGGAAGGAAATGCACCGTCACGGTGCCGCGTCTGGACATTTGCGGGCTGATTCCAGAGTCTCTCCCCACCCTTGGCTGCCCTGAGGGCCACCCTAGAGACAGGGCTCCTGGGATCTCTTGGCCTCCCGGTCCCGAGGCCGCAGCCCGAGGGTTTGGGCCCCTGAGCACCTTGGGTCTTGCCTCTTGTCAGTTTGCATGAAGCTGTGTAGACGACTGTGGCCGCAAACCGTTCTGCCTGCGCAGGGCTGATTCTAGATCAGGGAACAGCTGATCTAGGAACGAAAGGGGTGCGAGCCAGAACTCAGAAGGGGGCCCTGAGAACGAGGGAGGGAACCGCGGTGTACTGAGCTGCCCCGCGTGCCCGGCTCGGTGCTGGGCACTCTGACCTCACAACAAGCTCTCCGAGGTCGTCATTCTTCCCCCAATTTGAGAAACGAGGAAACCGAAGCACGGAAAGTCTAATCAACCTGCCCAAGGTCACCCAGCCGAGATTTGGATTGACTCTGCCCAATGCTAAAATCGTGTCCCTGTCACCATCTCCTTCTCTTCTCAGGAGCCAAAACACTTCTATTTCTGCACCAATTCTGAGACCTCCACTATTTACCAACAAACCGAGATTCACCGATGGCAAAGGAGCGCGGGCTATTCAGCACGGATTTACAGGGCACCTCCGAGGCGCTCCTAGTATTTCTAGGCCTTCGGGTGCTTCTCCATCCCTACCCGAGGTGATGCTCAAAACAGGAGAAGAGAGAAATGCTCATGAGAAGTTCATTTCCCCTATGAGTGCAGAAGGGCTTTGACTGGGACCGAACTTGCCCAAGTTCACAGAGTGTATAAAGGTGGTGCTGGGACTTGGACCCGACTTGGGCTTAACTCGAATTCTAGGCCTTCCCTTAGCCCCCCAAGATCATGTAGTTCCGTTGGGCCGGTGACAGGTGTGGGATGTGCAGGCAAGGAAGGGTAGCAAGGGCAGAAGTTGTCTGCTCCTGGGGCTCCAGCCACGCTCAGGAGAAGAGCGTCAGTCCGGGTACACATTGCTCCTAACCCACCCCACCCCCATGCGGGGCGCCGTAGTCCCCGAGCGGCAGCTCTGTCAGCGGGGACTGGAAAGGGTGCAGTGCTGGGGCAGGGTTGGTGGAGCAGCCTGTCGGAGCCCCTCGGAGGCGCGAGGACCCGTCGCCTGCGGAGACGTCGGGTCAGTCCAGCTCGGAGCCGCGCGCTGCCCCTGCTCCTGGAGAGGGCCGGGTCCCAGGGGTCGGAGTCGCTGCACAGCCAGGAACCTGGGCTGGAATCTCCGCTGCTTTCGGCTCCGGCGGCCCCTGGTTAGACGCAGCGGATGCCCTTCGGCTCTCGGCGCGCTCAGGGGTCGCACGGCGCTGAGTGCACTGCGGTGGCTTTTTGAAATTTTCCGGGGCTGCTCGGCGGCGCTGCGATTGGTCGCATTCGGGTAACCTCTATGCAAATGAGGCCGCACCGCCTCTGCGCAGCCCGAGACCGGGAGAGCTGGAGGGTGAGGAAGGGGCATTCGCACCGGGGCTGGGCGGGCACACCCAGAGCCAGACGGGCAGGGACCCCTGCTCAGCCGTCCCGCGCCCGCGTGTCCCTAGCGCGGAAAGGACGCCCGGCCAGCCTCGCCGCCCCCTCCCCCTGGATTCCCTCCCCGCCCCTCCCCCCTGCCTGCCTTCCTGCCTGCACCACCTTCCACCCAGATCGTCTCTAAAGGGAGTTCTTGGCTTCCTCTGGTTTCTTATGAACCCAGGATGGGCAGCAAGGAAGATGCGTGCAAGGGGTGTCCGGCGGCCGGTGGCGTCTCCAGCTTCACCATCCAGTCCATCCTGGGAGGGGGCCCCTCGGAGGCACCGCGGGAGCCCGCCGGCTGGCCGGCCAGGAAGCGCAGCCTGTCTGTGTCCTCGGAGGAGGAGGAGCCGGACGACGGCTGGAAGGCGCCCGCCTGCTTTTGCCCAGACCCGCACGGCTCCAAGGAGCCGGGCCCCAAGCACCACCCCCCAGTCCCTTTTCCCTGCCTGGGTAAGGATCGCAAGTCGCCAGTCTGGCAGAGAGCGAGCGCGAGGGGAGGGAGGCTGCGCACCCAGCCAGGACTCCCCCGCCGGGCCCCCTCCGGCCACAGCTGCGGTCGCCAGGGGTCCGGGCCGAAGGGAGCCGGGCGGGCGCTCGGGAGGAGGTGGGGAACACAGACCCCGCGCTGCTCTGGTGTCTAGGGGAGGGTCGGGTTGGAGGGAGAGTGGACCACAGCGAACCGGGCACCCGGCCGGCAGACACATGGCTCTGTCCTCAAGCCCTTTGCAGATCGGATACTTTTTTTCCGGGACATGAGGTCTGCAAGACGGGTCTGGGCGGTCTGTCTCTATCGCAATCTTCCTGCGTCTTTTCCTCTCTGTCTCTCTCCTTCTCTTCCTCTGTCTCTTTCTCCTCCTCGGAATGATTAGCACTCCACGATGACTGACAACGGTGCATTTCAGAGACGGTTCCTCTTTACAACATCTGACGAAGGGGAGCCCCGCGTTAGTCCTTAGCGCGATTTCCCAACAAACGGCCTCTAAAATGATGCCGCCCTACAAAGCTCGAGGAACTCTTCCAGCTCAGATATTACAAGGCAAAATCACCTTTTAAGGTGATGCTAATATTCCTCCTCCAGGCCTCCTCTCCCTCTTTCCACCTGTCCTTTCATAAAGATGGGAACACAGAGACCCCAGACTCGGAGTAGCTGGGTCCTTCTGTTGTTTTTAAAAGGCCGGGGTGCTGGGCTTTGGGTGCCAGCGAGAGGGCGAAGAAGAGGGGGTTGGTAAGATGGGACCAAGGCTGCAGGCGCCTGCTAACTCCCTAGTCCTGGGAAGAGCTGGGGTCTCCGAGGCCCCCCAGCTCCATGGCCTTCCTGTCTGTTCTCGCTCCTCAGGTACCCCCAAGGGCAGCGGAGGCACGGGGCCGACGGGCTCGGAGCGCACCCCTTTCATCTCTCCTTCGCACCCGGACTTTAAGGAAGAAAAAGAGAGGCTCTTGCCCGTGGGTTCGCCCTCGCCGGGGCCGGAGCGGCCACGGGACAGCGGCGCCGAGCGGCAGGCGGGCGCGGCCAAGAAGAAGACGCGCACGGTCTTCTCGCGCAGCCAGGTGTACCAGCTCGAGTCCACCTTCGACATGAAGCGCTACCTGAGCAGCTCGGAGCGCGCCTGCCTTGCCTCCAGTCTGCAGCTCACCGAGACCCAGGTCAAGACTTGGTTCCAGAACCGCCGCAACAAGTGGAAGCGGCAGCTCTCAGCCGAGCTGGAGGCGGCCAACCTGGCGCACGCGTCGGCGCAGACTCTGGTGGGCATGCCGCTGGTGTTCCGGGACAGCTCGCTGCTGCGGGTGCCAGTGCCGCGCTCCCTCGCCTTCCCCGCGCCGCTCTACTACCCGGGCGGCAACCTCTCGGCCTTACCTCTCTACAACCTCTACAACAAGCTCGACTACTGACCGGCCCGCTGGCCCCGCGCCGCCCGCAGCCGTCCGCAGAGCCGGGCGCGCGATGCACCCTTCACAGGGCTCCGGAGCGAGGCGGCGTGTTTCCAGAAATATGAAGAAATACACCATGTGTATTCATTATCTCTTATTTATGGCCTCTGCCCTACTTTTTGTTTTGATTGTTTCGGGTATTTACCTGCATTCCTCAAGCCAGATCGCCTGCTTTCTACCCAAACCAAACCAATTGGCTTTGAAAGCCATTTCGGAGGGGGATGATCTCGGGTGGTGGTAGGAAAAAAAGTTTGGGCCAGATCGGCTTTGGTTGGTAGGAAAAAAATCAGACAAAACACCAACAAAGCCAGGTACACTCCTTCCCCCATGTGTACACCTCTATCTGTATGTACATGCACACACGCTCAGCCTAGTCAGACCCCGGGGGCTTTGGACTGTTACCTAATCACCTCTTTCCGTTTCCCTCATCCAGAGGACGGGTAGGGGCGAAAAGGGGAAAGAGTTCAAAACTGTAAATATTTTTAAAGAAAAAAATAAAACATTTTAAACATCGTTACTAACTTTGGTGGGACTGATTGCCCAGAACGGTAACTCGCAGCAGGTTTTCTCGCTTCTCCGTGCAAGGGCTTGCAAGCATCTGTGTGTACAAAGGTCTGGCTCGCACGGCGTGGAGGGTGGGGCCTGGGTCAGGGACCTTGGCGCCGTCCTAGCGACACGTGGCTGGACGCGAGCCCTTCCGTCCCCTGTCCCCCTACCCATAATCTTGCCGTGATCTGGGGCGCACCCCGGCTGGAGTCCAGCTCCGGAGCCCCGTGCCGAGAAAGACAAAGGCGGGGAGGCAGGCCTCGCTGCTGAAACGGCCGTTTCCCGGAACGAGCCGGACCAGGGCCCGAGCAGCCCTTTCCCAGCACTGGATTCTTCTCGGGCTTGGCCCCAGCAGGGCACGTTGCGACGTGGCCCACCCTGTGTCGCGTGCCTCTTCTCCGAGGGCGTAGGGCAGCCTGCGGTGCTGCCTGTAACTGGTAAAGCGTCTGCTTTGCTCGCCCAGAGCCTGGCGCGACCGGCTTGTAGCTGTGCACAGTCCCCCAGCGGGTGGCACAGTTGCGCGTCCCGCGCGCGGAGCGAGAACTGGGGACCGAAAGGCCGCACTTCGGCCCAGGAGGGATCCAAGGCTCGAGACCAGGCAAAAGCGCGGGAGGGGAAAGCGCTTCCCCACACTCTTTTGTTATTGTTCTTGGTTTGCACTGTGACTGGCTAAATGGCTGGATCACGGGCTCACATGCGGCCTCTCGCTCTGTATGCGACTGGGACGCGCGGCGGGGGCGCCCACGGTCTTCCGCGCCGCGGCATCTGCTGCCGCGCCCGGGCCGGAAGGGCGGTGCACGTAGACAAGAGCCACGCGAGTGTCGTGCAAATCGTAGACTCCCGGTCCTGGTAGGTAGCAGCCACCTGTTCCCTGTGAAACGTCGGAAAAGGAAGCGTGAGCTAGGGGGAGGCCGGTGGTTCGGCACCACGTGGGGCGAGTTCCTCGGTCCCCCTGCCGCCTACCCCTGGCCCCGCTGAGCCGGTGCAAAGGAGCTGGGATCCGATCTCATGCTCCAGTAGGGAAACATTCGCGGGAGAGGCTTGTCTCTGAGCCGAGAGGTAACGACATTATCTGCATTTTGTGAAAATATTCAGAATATCTGTAAGCGTTTATGTGACTCGCAGTATTCTGTATAAAATGACTGGCCAAAAAGATTCGATATGATATTGTCTATTTTCAAATCATATTTTCCTTCACACGTTAGATTTCATAAAAACCACAATCTATTCCAAGGAGACGTCAGAAGGGTGTCACCCAAGAACACATCTGCTGATACTAGGTTGGTTCAAGTGCGTTTATTTCATTTCAACTGAATTCACATCAGTAAATGTTTACTGGGGCCTAGAACGTGCTGAGAAACTATGCTAAATACTGGGTTGTCAGAGAGAAAACAAAAGTGACGCTGGATCTGTTTTCTTCTGATTTATTGTATATTTCAATGAAGTTCTCTTGCTCCAGATGACCCCCCTTAAATTCTTTTCCTCTAACGTTGCTATTTGAATATTCCATGCAGAAAAAAAAAAAAAAAAAAAACAAATTGCTTCCAAGTAGTTGCTTGTATAGGAATATTCCATCCATATCACTTTTGTCTGCATTTCAATAGATGACGGTTTTTACAGGAGTTGATGGTTTTAACAGTATGGGGCCACTATATCCTTATTAGGCTTACTTCTCTTATAGGAAGTGGTTTCCTCTAGTCACTGCAGGCATTTAATGATGGAGTGATTTTGCCCTTAAGATTTTAGGAAATGACCCTTTTCTAGGTTGTCATAGTATATATTTCACTTTTTATTTATCCAGAAGTTAGCAGTCAAAGATGATCCAACAGTGTATTAGTTTCTAGGAATTTCTCTCTCTTACGGGTAACTAAGTATTAAACACATACACACACAGTCTTGTGGCTTTGCATTTGGACTTAAAATGTTCAAGACTCCTGTTGTGGCCAGATATCCTATCTCAAGACTGTCAATTCATTTGAATAATCAGCAAAAGCATCAGCCTCCTTTCAGGCTCTAAACTAGATTTAAAAGATTGACGTTTCTTAAAACTCAAGTAGAGTCGGGCTGCAACTGCATGCCCACAGGGATCTGAATCATACACACACTGGATAATGAAATACACTTAGATTTTATTAGTGGGTAATTCATGCTTAGAATCTTGAAAAACTAATACAATTAAATAAACAACTGGGAGAGGGAACCAAATAAGTCAACAGACAAAATTACTTAGCTAAAGTTAGAATGGAAGTAAGGCACTGCATTTTAAAAATTTGAATTTGGCCATTAACTTATTGAAAGAGAAGAGATGGAGAACCAAGTGCTAGGACTGCTGAGGAAGGAGGGAAAGAATCCATTAGCAGTAATATCGTCAATGCAGTAGGAAAATGGGTTGTTGTTGCTGTGCGTATTTATTGTGTCAAAAATCATAAAAAGTGCATCCAATTTAGGACGTGTGAATGCATAAAGATCACCAACTCTTTATTAATACACTTTAAAAGCTAAACACTTTAACCCCAACAATTTTCTCTCACTTCATACAAAATCACATAATAAAATAATACTTTTTCTTCACAAAAGGCAGTGAAAAAGGTTACAACATGGGTTAAATTGCAAATTTTCAGTGAGCCTTTGACATTCAAGAGACTCAGTCACTTCATTCTACTGATTAACTATCGCTTTTCTTTCATGGAGGTTAAATCACTGATTACCGGAGCAACCTTCTTGATCCTCGTAGTTCTAGAGGATTCTAGAAACAGAAAAAGGAGCAAACAGCCTGCCATCTGTGGGGAGCGGCAGGGCTGGGTGGAAGGGGAGAGGCTTGTAGCTGTCACCTGAGGACCCTACAGAAACATATATTCGAAAGAAGCTGTTTGAGCTTTAACACATTTCAGAGCATTTGTTTCCCAGTCTGTTTACCCGTCTGGATGGGGAGTTCCTCGTGGGCAAGCACTGGTCTGATTAAACGCATCTTCCGGGATCTGGTACACAATGGGCGCTCAATAAATGTTTGTGGAAAGATGGAATGGAGAGATAAAGCAAATATAAGGGAGTTTCTGTGAGATCCACAGAACTTAGGACAATGGGAAATGTGAGACCCTGGTTCACAGGTGGAAACTCCAGGAAAGTGAGAAAAAAATCTAGGCAAAATATGCAGTTGATTACAGAGCAAATATTTCCTTCTCTCCTCCCATTTTGGGTTAGCTTCACGGGTGTATGCACGTCCAGAGAAAGGGAGAGTAATCTAGCTCTATAAGATTATTTACCAAAACAGGATTCCTGGTCTAAGAGACTAAGATGGGAAGGCACCACCGGCAGAGCTGGAAAGGCTTTCCCGCCCACTATTCAGAGGACCGGCAGGACGTCGGTGCCAGGAAAACTACATCTCCCAGCGTGCCGCACACGGGTGTGAGAGGGCGTCAACGCAGCGTTGCCGCGAGGCTCTTTGGGAGTTGTAGTTTCCACTCTCCCAGCTCGAGTGCGTGTGCCTCCGCGGGAGCGGTAAGACGAGACCACGTGATCGGAACAACCACGGTTTCCCTTTGAGCCGGAACAAGATGACTGGGTTGACCGCCAGGAGACAGCTGAGCGGACCAATCGGCTGCTTAGGATGAGACGTTGACGTTTGAAATGAGCCAATGGAAAGCCTCCACAGGGGGCTTCCTCTCCGCCTCCTTCGCCCAGCCCTCGAGTGCTCTGAGGCAAGGCAAGGCGGCGGCGCGGCGGCGAGCGGCGGAGACGTTACCTTTGAAGGGAGCCCAAGGTAGCGGGACGAGACGACGGGGTGCAGGAGTGGACTCCCCGGGGACTCGCCGGGCCTGCAGCTGGCGGCGCCGTCCCCAGGGGAGCCTGTTTCTCTCCTATCGTTTTTCCTTTATTTTAGGAGCATCCGGGACGACAGGCCCCGGGGAGGGGCCGGGGTGCGGACGCCGCGGCAGGCCTAGCCGGGGGCTGGGGTTGGCGGTGCGGCGGCGGGGGATGGGATGCTATGGCCCTGGC